ATTTGGACAAGAACAAACTGGGAGGAGGGTAGAGAGAATGGTGCAACAATGAATGAGTGGAAGCCTGATGCTGGACGCGGCCAGGTGCTTTCTCAGAGGACTGCTGCTTGAACATGGTACGTGCTGAGAGGGTGTCAGATGCTGAGAGCGTATCAGACGCTGAGAGGGTATCAGGCCCGGCCAGGGCTCAGCTGTCCTGTGTGCGGTCAGGCCTTGGAGAGGAAGCAGGGGATAAGGGTGGAGAGCTGTGCCTGCCTCTCTCTGCCCACAGGCTCTACTCTGGATTCAGGTGCAGAACTGGAGGTACAGGTGCTGGAGGGAACACCCCGGGAGCTGCTCTGACAACCGGCAGAGAGGCGGGGGAGTGGGGGAGTGCGTGTGGTGGCATGCCCGCCCCTCCACTCTGACCTGAGGTCCCATCGGCAGCTGCCCTGCTGTTGCCCACACGGGCGGCTGTGCTGCCAAGCGGTTCCGACTCAGAGACCCTGGAGGGCAGACGACAGCTGCCCCACAGGGCTCCCCGGGCTGCGACCCCAATGGGGACCACTAGGTCCTTCCTCCTGTGGAGCAAGTCGGTGGGTCTGAACCGCCAGTCTTCCTATGAGCAGTGCCTGAACACTGTGCCACCACGGGAGCCGGCTTGGTCACACGTCCTGTTACCTTAGTTCTCACTTTCTTCTGCTCTCTCCCGCCTGCTCCTCCCAAAGAAACTCACACTCAACCTATTGCCTTTGGGTTGGAACCGACTCAGAGCTCACCCTCCTCTGGGCTCCCAAGGCCATGGACGGCACGAGAGGACACTGCTCGTCTTTCCCCCTCAGGGCAGTTGGTGGATTCGAACCACCAGAGAGGAGCTGCTTTTGGGTTGGCAGAGCAACGCCCTAAGGGCCATGCTAACAGAGCTGCCCACAACACACCCACCGACAGACAACTGAGCCGCCCTCAGATCGTTCTCCGGACCTGCGCGTGAGACGCCACGTCCTGCCATCTCTTCGTGGATGGAGGGTTGCCAGGGGGAAGCTGGAGGGGACTCAGGGGGCAGTGGGACAAGCAGACGTCTGTCTGGGCGGACGTAAACAACCAGGAGGCACAGGTAACTGCCCCATGGGGAAGGGGACAGCCTGGACCATCAGTTACATGGTCCCTCAAAAGTCAGCCACTGTGTTTTAGTGGCCCAAATGCCCAGTGTGGGGAACTTGTCTGCACCCTGCCCAGGACAGCAGACCCTACACACCCACCCCAACTCACTGCTCCCCTTTCTACAAGAACGGTAATCAATGATCAATGACCCAAGACCATCATTCACGTCACTGAGCTGCACAAGCGAAGACCTTGGAAAGAGCAAGTCTGTAACATACATATTTATTTCCATTAGAAGAATATTCATATGCCCAAAGTGCCAAGGGAAACAGAAAAGTGACTATTTGTAGAAACAGTAACAAGAGCTGTCAGGAGTGGTGGGACCCAGACCCTAAAAGGGGGTTACATATTCTGTATGTTTAAAATGTTTTCACAAAGCACCTGTAATACGTCAGAAAACACAAAAGCCCGAACCCACAGTTGCTGTGAAAACTGCTGGATTCTCCTAGTTCATTACTTCGAGTGGGGAGACTAGTGAGGGAGTTTCGGGGGAAGGCTGTCAGCAAAGCGGGGTTCCAGCCCAGGCTCCGACCGGCTGTGGCCTTGGGGAAGCTGAACAGCCTTGTGGAGCCTCAGTGCCTCTCTGTCAAATCAAGGGGGGACGCCTCTCCTGACTGGCCCACCTGCCCCAGCCCCCCGGGTGCCCACCTGTCTGGGGCTGTGGGAGAGGACACCCCCCAAGATGTCTGGGAGCGCAGCCAGGGCCGCGTGATTCCGAGGCTGCTCTTCCTGACTCTGGTCAATTACCCTCCCAGACAGCCCCGCTGCAGACGCTGCCAAGCCCAGTCATGCCCAGCCGGGCTGGGCAAACACCAGTGTTTTCTTCATTAACCAACGTTATTAGGAGCTTATCAGAACGAATAACAAAAAGACAATAACCCAATTAAAAGGGGGCAAGAGGCTTGAACAGACACAAATGGCTACCAAGCACGTGAAGAGCTACCCGGAGTCCTTCATCATGTTGCTGTCAGGGGCTATCAAGCCGGCCCTCAACTCCAGCAACCCTATCTACGTCCAGCAGAGCGAAGCCCAGCGCGATTCCACCCCGATCCAATCCCTGCTGGGCTCCCGGCCGCCAGCGCAGCTCCTGTCCATCCCTCCCGCCGAGGGTCTTCCTCTAGTGCAGGAACCTTCCCTTGTACCACCCCTCCTGACACCATGTATGTGAGATCAAGTCTCACCATCTCTGCTTCTCACCACTCTGGCTTCATTTCTTCCAACACAGATTTTTTTTAAAACTTTTTTTATTATTATTTTATTATTTTTGTGTGAGTGGACCGTCAAATCAGATCTGACTGGCACAGGAGGAGATTGTCCCTCCTTACCCGGCAGAGCATCTGGTGGATTCGAACCGTGCGCCTCTGGGATTGCAGTGCAGCTTCTTGCCACTCAACACAGATTTCTTGATTCTTTTGACTGTTCAGAGTATCTCTCTGTCCCACTGCTGCTGAGTCGGAACAGGCTCAGCCGACCGGTCAGTGACTTTTCAGAGGCTGTTAATCACACTGGAGGAGACCACCCACCTCTCTCCTGAGGAGCAACTCGTGGCTTCGAACCGCCTAGCTTTGGGCTGGCAGTGAACTCCTTAGTTCCAGGCCACCAGAGCTCCCTCAGTGGTACATCTAAACCACCAGGGATTTAAACCCAAACCAAAAGGAAGCAGTGCTTCACGTCTCCCAGGATGGCTGTGAGACAATCAAAACCAATCCCCAGGCCCTCGAAACACACACACAAAGTAAAAAACAGTAAGTACTGGGAATGCTAAGTGAAAATACACCATCAACAGAGGATGAGCGAGATGACTGAGACCTCCTACAATTATACCATGATGTGCCTCAGAACACCTGCCCAGAGAGTAAAAAGAAAACCTGCAGACTGAAAAACACATCTGACAAGGGACTCATCGCTAAAATTTACAGGAAGCCCCAACATCTCAAGAAAAAGACAAACACTCCAATCACAAAATTGGCAGAGGGCATGAATAGATACTTCCCTGAAAAGGACATTCAGATGGCCCACACATACATGAAGACACAATCAAGATCCTTAACTATCAGACAGATGCAAATCAAAACAACAACAAGATCTCTTTTCACCCCAGCAAGACCAGCAGTGTTCATTCAGTAAGACATCGAACAACAGATGCTGTGCGGGTGTGGGGGGCCTGGAGCTCTCAGACCCCGTCGGAAGGAATGTGCAAGGTGCAACCGCCTTGGAAAACTGCTTAGCTCTTCCTTACGCGGCTGGGCTTAGAAATACCAACTGATTTCTATTTGAAAGCCCACAGCTGAGTAAAAATCCCTATAACTGAGAAATAAGAGCTGTGACAAACTGTGATAAACATCCGTGTTGACTGCAGCCCTGTGTGTAACTGCAAAGACTTGGGATCAATTCACGTGTTCATCCAGGTTATACAGTAGTTCCCAAATCCTTGATCATTTTTTAGTGGTGCATTTGACTTCACTGTGACAGAATCAGTCACCAAATGACAATTATGATTTAAAAAAAACCCTCAAACTCATTGCCATTGAGTTGGAACCAACTCACAGGTGACCCTCCAGGAGCTTTTCAGAGGCTGTAAATAGTGTGGGAGGAGACTGCCTATCTTTCACCTGCGGAGTGGCTGGTGGATTCGAACCACATACCTTAGGGTTGGAAGCTGTAGCTCCTACCTACCAGTCACCAGAGCTCCCTCATTATGGTATAAGACAACGAATACAAAAAGCTGAGAAAAGGTTTACACACAGATAGAAGTTGGGCAAAGGGAAAGGCAACATTCAGTAAGGGCTTGATTAGGCTTTGAAATTATCTACAAGGAAGACAGCTGTCAGAGACCTCTCCAAAGTGCTGAAGAGCAATGATGTCAGCCTGGAGACTAAGATGTGCATAATGCAGGCCACAGTCTTTGCAATTACTTGCTATGCATCAGAAAGCTGGACAATGGCTAGAGATGACAGAATGAGAACTGATGCCTTTGAGCTGTGGTGCTGGAGAAGAGTATTGAATATACATACCACAGACTGCTAAGAGAACATATAGGTTCATTCTAAAGAGGGTGAGACCAGGCTGCTCCTTGGAGGCAAGGATTCTGAAGCTTCATCTGACATACTTTGGCCAAGGAGGGACCAGTCCTTGGAGAGGGACGTCATGCTTGGGAGGGTGGAGGGACAGTGCAGGAGAGGAAGACCCATGAGATGGATTGATTGATTCAGTGACTAGCGTAATGGGGGGTGGGTGTGTCAGAGACAATAAGATTGGCACAGGATAGAGTAGGATTTAGGGTTGTTGTACACAGGGTCTCTATGAGTCACAGGCAACTGAATGGCACGTAACAACGTTTATTTAATGTCATAAAACAAAGTATCTGTGAATGGAAGAAAAAAATATGATTTGTAAACCTGCACTCCATTGAAACACACACAATCATATGCACAAAATATGAAAGACATCAGAACCCTCATTGGCTGCTCATTAGAATGGAAAGCAACGCAGACGCTGGGGAGAGAGCAGTTCTGCAGTTACTAAAACCCACACAGGTACCGTATTCCACTCCTTACGTACATAATAGAGACTTGAGAGCTGGGACTCTAACAGGTATTCATACATCACAATTCACTGCAGCATTATTCACAACAGTCAAAAGGAAGAAATAAACCAGGTGCCCACCGACGGATGAATCGTAAATGAAAAAGCGAGTTGTGATGGATGCTGGCTGACTATGTGCAGTGAAACACCTCAGACACAAAGGACAGATGTTGTGAAGCCCACTCACATGAACTGTCTAGGATAAGCCAGTGCACAGAAACCATCATTTATCCGTGGTTACCAAGGGCTGGGGAAGGAGATAATGGGGAGGAACAGCTCCAAGGGGGAGTCCCCGGGAGGTGAAAATATTTATACCTGGTGACTGGCCAAAAAGGTCAGTGGTTCAAGCCCATTCAGAAGGTGTCTGGAGGAAAGGTCTGGGTATCTGCTTCAGAGAACCCCAGCTGACAACTGTGGGGTGACAAGGAGCTGGGAGGGGGCTTAGGAGCAAGGAATTGCACTGCCAATGCAAAGGTACATGGTTCAAATCCACCAGCTGCCCTGAGGAGAGAAAGCAGGGCAGCCTCCTGCTGTGCGATTTACAGCCTCTGAACACCTGCTGGAGGGTCAATTACGGGTTGGTTCCAACTTGACGGAACGTAACGAGCATGAGCTGGTACCGTCAAGACAGCAGTTAGCAGCACTGCTTAAATGTCACCGAGTTCCCGTTTAAGGAGTCCTGCTGGCACGGTACGTAACGTGCTGGGCTGCTAATGCAAGAAAGATCTGTGGTTGAAATCCACGGCCGCTCCCCGGGACGAAGGCGGGCAGTCATCTCCCGTGAACACTCGCGGCTTCAGAAACGCGGTGGGAGGCACCACTCAGCGGCCGCGGGTTCGGATGGCAGTTTCTGTCTGAGGTGATGTCAAATCTGAGGGCCAGTGGTTGTTCAACCCGGTGACCATAATAAACGCCACCCAACGATATGCTTATAAATGGCTAACACGGCAAATTTGTGTTGTGTCTGTATTTATACACAAATAAAACGAAGTCTATCTCGGCCGACGAAAACACACGATCATGTCCCCTCGCGCACTAGAGGGCCAGGCCTTCCTTTCTGCTTCCCCCATCGGTTATGTTTTCATCTTCGTAGGAAGCAGACTCGCCCCTTTGTCCTCTGCTTCATGCTACATCACACGCACTCTGCTCACTGCCCGTTTTAGTGCTGCACGAACGTCCACCAGGAGGATCTGTTAACGGTCCCCCCAGACAGCTGGGCAGGCGGCTTCCGATTTGTCACTGTCATCATTAACACTGCTGCGGACACCTTTGTGCGGAAGACGCTGTCCCCATTCCGGACGACTTCCGGAGACTGGGGTCCTGGGACAACCAGGGAGCACGTCTGGCTGACTCAGCTTAACATTCCTACCAAAGCTCGCTGACAGTACCCCCGGCCCCAGCCGCTCAACCCAAGTCTTAGCCGATTGAAGGTGCATAAAGGATGCCCTGTGCCGAGGCCCCTGTTCCCGACACCGCACAACGGTGGTCAACTGACCAGTGGTCCTATTTTGGCCAATTACCCACTCACAGCGAGGTGGGCGTGCGGAGGGGAAGCGCAGCTGCCCCTTCTAGGAAGACCCTGCAGCCCTAGAGGCTGGGGGGTGTGGTCAGGACGGACACCTTTGGTGGCGACCCTTCAGGACCACCTCATCCAGCGGCAGCCCCATCCTGGGGCGTGTGGGCATGGAGGCCTGCTCACCTCCGATCTCCCTCATGTAGCAAACTGGGGGCGTCCTGGCTCTGGGGTCCCTACTGCCCATTGTGCGTCACCTTGTTCTGACTGTTACTGTCACTTCTGGTGGCAACACACAAGCATTCACAACAAAAACATTTTCCGCTGCATTTGGGAGAGCCTCCGGTGCTGTAACTGACATGCTTTTTCTCTGTGATGGTTCATTTCTGAAAACCTTTTCAATACCTATCATGCTTTTCTGTCTTATTACTTAAAAGATCTCTTTTCTCCTATAATAACTTTTTAATAGTCTTGAAGGTGGGAATTGGGTACACGGGACTCATTAAACTATCTTTTTAAAATGTTTCTGTTTTGGAAATCCTCCAAAAGGCCATTTTCAACACAAGCAGAGCTCTAGTGCTGCTCGGCTGCGGTGTCCCTGTCAAGCCACACCTCGTCCATGCCCACAGGACTGCAGGGGCTGACCTGTTCCTGCCGCTGGCTCCAGCCCCGTGCAGGCTTCCACCCTTCACCACAGCGGGAGTAAATCCTAATTAAGACGTTCCTGTGGCTTCATACCACCTCTGTCCCCCCTCAGTACCTTCCCTGATGCTCATGTCTAACCACCCCGACCGCAGGCCCACTCCTCACACCTCACATCCAGCCACACTCGGGTCTGTCTCCCTGCTGGTCTCGGAAGGGCGGGCACAGCCCTACCTCAGGGCCTTTGCACAGGCTGTTTCCACTATCCAGAAGCGCTCTGACCTGACAGCCAGCAGATCCCCCTGCAACTCCCTCAGGTTTTTGCTCAAATGTCACCTTCTTAGTGAGATCCAAACCCCTAGTCCGTTCCTCTCCTCCCTGTTCTGGGTTCTTCTACGGCACTTTCTGCCGTCGGATGGTTTGCCTGGGACTGACAATCCCTGCGTGATAACACCATCTCTGTCACATGTGGGAGCCAACCTTGGACCCCTCCGTGAAGGCCGGCCCACTGCTCTTTCCCTGGCACTGCCCACAGAAGCTGACACGCAGCAGCAGGAACTCAAACAACTATTTATTAAATGAGCAAACGAATGCAGACGTGAGGCTGCTGGGAAAGAGGTGGTGAGCAGACCGGGTGCAAATCAAGTCTCCGTTTTTTCTGAAGGGAGCCCAGCCAGGCAGGGGAATGGGGTATGGAAAGGGGTGCCTCTAACTGGGGTACAGTGGAGACCAGGAGAAGCACGTGCTTCCTGACCCAACCCGCCCCTGCCACTCCTGATGGGCACGTCCCAGGACCGCCAGCCGCGCCCCCCCTTACCAGTCAGCATCTCCATCCCGTAACCCGAGTCCTCCGAGGGCAGGTGGCCAGGCATCGAGTCCGTCATCTCCTCCGAGGTTGGCGAAGGGTCTGGAGACAAATCCCCCCAAATGATGAGCACATCCTGGGGACCTACCAGCCAGCAAGGCACCCTGCTGACACCCCTTCAAGGAAGCTCTGCTCTGGAGAGGACAGGCCTGGAGGACAGGTCACTCTGAAGGTCAGTGCTACCCCACGGCTTAGCCTGCATGTGCCCAAGTACACCCACTCCGTACAGAGGGGGAAACAGGCTCAGGGGCTTCAGAGAATGGAGTCTTATTTCAATACTGTCCCCACTCCTGTCTCTCAAATCCAAGGGGGGGAGGCTGGAGGGGGCAAGTCTGGGGGAGGGGGAGGACCTGCTCTGGCAAGGCTGGTGCTGAGGGCACCCCTGGCATGGGGCGGGGGCGGGGGAAGCACACTCTACACCCCTGCTCCGCTCAGGTTCACGCCACAGACGCACCAGCCTGCAGCCCACTTCCTGACCAGGCAGACAAAGCGGCAGAGCCGAGTGGACAGTCCCGGAGGGCTGGGTGGTCTTGGCCCTTACCTGGGATGGTGACCTGAATGATGTCCAGATCCTCTGGCTCAATTTTGATGGGCCTCAGGCCACCAAGTTCCCCAGAGGTTCCTGTGTGGAAGATGCATGCTGTGCTCAGGTGGGGTTCTAGCCTCCCGGCAGGAGGGGGAATTATTCTAGAACCTTCTCTCATCTATGAATGGTTATTGAACGTCTGAAAAAAGCCCCTAAGGAACTGCCCACGCCAGGTGGGGAAAATCACGCAGGCCCTGAAGAGGCCACTGGGCCAGGCCAGGTCTTCCCGTTTTACAGACCTGATCACAAAGGGGGAATCACTTCCCACGTACCGCCCAGCGAGCCCACCCTTCTCACCTGGCCCACAGTCCTCGGAGACGCTGCCCTTGTCTGACCTGAGGAAACGACATGGTGTCAGTGTAGTCACGACCATTCTGCCTCTGATTTGCCTATCTTGGCAGCCTGGGTCCCCAGCTGCCCCCCGATTCAGTCCCACATCTAACTGCCTCATTCTGCTCAGGGATACAGGGTGGGCCTTTTCCCTGAGTGAGACCCACAACACCCTGTCCCAGGACAAGGTCCCTGATTGAGACCCACAGCACTCCGTCCCAGGACAAGGTCCCTGATTGAGACCCACAGCACCCTGTCCCAGGA